TGGTACTTTGTGGCTTTCCAGGAATGCGTCCATTTCTTCTAGATTGCCTAATTTATTGGCGTAGAGCTGTTCATAATATGTTTTGAAAATCATTTGTATTTCCTTGGTGTTGGTAGTGATCTCTCCTTTCTCATTCATGATTTTATTAATTTGAGTCTTCTCTCTCTTCTTTTTAATAAGGTTGGCTAATGGTTTATCTATCTTATGAATTCTTTCAAAGAACCAACTCCTGGTTTTATTGATCTGTTCCACAGTTCTTTTGGTCTCAATTTCGTTGAGTTCTGCTCGAATTTTAATTAACTCTCTTCTTCTGCTGGGTGTCGGGTCGATTTGCTGCTTCTTCTCTAGCTCCTTTATGTGTAAGGTTAGCTTTTGTATTTGAGTTCTTTCCAGTTTTTGAATGGATGCTTGTATTGCGATGTATTTCCCCCTCAGGACTGCTTTTGCTGCATCCCAAAGATTTTGAATGGTTGTATCTTCATTCTCATTAGTTTCCATGAATCTTTTTAATTCTTCCTTAATTTCCTGGTTGACCCTTTTATCTTTTAGCAGGATGGTCCTTAACCTCCACGTGTTTGAGGTCCTTCCAAACTTCTTCTTGTGATTGAGTTCTAATTTCAAGGCGTTATGGTCTGAGAATATGCAGGGGACGATCCCAATCTTTTGGTATCGGTTCAGACCCGATTTGTGACCCAGTATGTGGTCTATTCTGGAGAAAGCTCCATGTGCACTTGAGAAGAATGTGTATTCAGTTGAGTTTGGATGTAAAGTTCTGTAGATATCTGTGAAATCTATCTGGTCCAGTGTATCATTTAAATCTCTCATTTCTTTGGAGATGTTGTGCTTAGAAGACCTATCGAGGGTAGAAAGAGCTAGATTGAAGTCACCAAGTATAAGTGTATTATTATCTAACTATTTCTTCACTTTGGTTAATAATTCGTTTAAGTATTTGGCAGCTCCCACATTCGGGGCATATATATTGAGGATTGTTAAGTCCTCTTGCTGGATAGATCCTTTAAGTATGATATAGTGTCCCTCTTCGTCTCTCACTACAGTCTTCGGGATAAATTTTAGTTTATCTGATATAAGGATGGCTACCCCTGCTTTCTTTTGAGAAGCATTTGAATGGTAAATGGTTCTCCAACCTTTTATTTTCAGGTTGTAGGTGTCCTTCTGTCTAAAATGAGTCTCTTGTAGACAGCAAATAGATGGGTCCTGCTTTTTTATCCAGTCTGAAACCCTGCGCCTTTTGATGGGGTCATTGAGCCCGTTCACGTTCAGAGTTACTATTGACAGATATGAGTTTAGTGTCATCATGATATCTATTTAGTCCTTGTTTTTGTGGATTGTTCCACTGAACTTCTTCTTAAAGGGGAATTTTAAGAGTCCCCCTTAAAATTTCTTGCAGAGCTGGTTTGGAGGTCACATATTCTTTCAGTTCCTGCCTGTCTTGGAAGCTCTTTATCTCTCCTTCCATTTTGAATGAGAGCCTTGCTGGATAAAGTATTCTTGGTTGCATGTTCTTCTCATTTAGGACCCTGAATATATCCTGCCAGCCCTTTCTGGCCTGCCAGGTCTCTGTGGAGAGGTCTGCTGTTACCCTAATATTCCTCCCCATGAGAGTCAGGGATTTCTTGTCTCTTGCTGCTTTAAGGATCTTCTCTTTATCTTTGGAATTTGCAAGCTTCACTATTAAATGTCGAGGTGTTGAACGGTTTTTATTGATTTTAGGGGGGGATCTCTCTATTTCCTGGATCTGAATGCCTGTTTCCCTTCCCAGATTGGGAAAGTTTTCAGCTAGGATTTGTTCAAATACATATTCTGGCCCTCTGTCCCTTTCGGCGCCCTCGGGAACCCCAATTAAACGTAGGTTTTTCTTCCTTAGGCTGTCATTTATTTCCCTTAATCTGTCTTCATGGTCTTTTAATTGTCTCTTTTTTCCTCAGTTTCCCTCTTTGCCATTAACTTGTCTTCTATGTCACTCACTCGTTCTTCCACCTCGTTAACCCTCGTCGTTAGGACTTCTAGTTTGGATTGCATCTCATTCAATTGATTTTTAATTTCTGCCTGATTGGATCTAAATTCTGCAGTCATGAAGTCTCGTGAGTCCTTAATGCTTTTTTCTAGAGCCACCAGTAGCTGTATAATAGTGCTTCTGAATTGGCTTTCTGACATTGAATTGTAATCCAGATTTTGTAGCTCTGTGGGAGAGAGGGCTGTTTCTGATTCTTTCTTTTGAGGTGAGGTTTTCCTTCTAGTCATTTTGCTCAGTGCAGAGTGGCCAAAAACAAGTTGTATTGGGAAAAGGAGAGAAAGAGAGAGAAGGAAAGAAAAGAGAAAAAGAAAAAAGAAAAAGAAAAAAAAAGGAAAGAAGAGAAGAAAAAGGGAAAGAAAAAGAAAGAAAGGTGAAAAAAAAGGGGGTGGGGGAAGCAATCAGAAATCAAAAAGAAAAGAAAAAAGAAAAAAAAACAAAAAAAACCACGGGGGAGTATCTTCTGTCTGTAGACTTTAAGTCCCTTGACTTCCCCTGGAACTGGTCCGTCCAGCTGGTCTTCTGGGGGAGGGGCCTGCTGTGCTGATTTTCAGGTGTTAGCACTTGGGGGAGCTGCTCTGCCCCTGCCTGCTGCAGGGCTCAGCGGGGGTTGTTTACCCCGTGAGGCCCAGGAGGAACAGCCGCAGTTGCTATGGCAACTCTGGAAGCCTGGATTCAGCCTCCGCAGGAACTACGGGGCTCTCGGCTCCTCCGCAGGGCCTGGAGGCTCCGGGGCGGGGCCGCTGATCTGCTCAGCTCGGGGCAGGAGCGTCCTTGCTGTCCTGGGCCCTCCCGGCCTCTGCCTGTCCCGGGGGAGGCCGGATCCTGGGCTGTGTCCCGGCGCCCTGTGCTCCGGGGCCTGCGCTGTTGGATTCGCGCTCCCGCCCCGCAGCCCCCTCCGCTGGAGCCGCCGCCCGAGCCCCTCCGAGCTGCTCCGCCCGCCGTGCGCGCTGCAGCCCTTAGGGAGCTCGGCGCACTCTCCCGGCGCGCAGGTGTCTGTTAGTGTCCCCGGGAGCCCGAGGGCATCCCCGCCCTCCTGGGTCCTGCTCCAACTCCCTGCGAGCCCCTTTCCGCCCGCCGGAAGGTTGGTGCAGCTCCTGCTCCTCCGGGACGGGGCTCTCCTGTCCTGGGGACACTCGCCCCGGCCTCAGCCCGGCTCCTCGCGGGGCCCCTCCCCCTCGGAGGCCTTTTGTTTCTTTATTTCTTTTTCCCCGTCTTCCTACCTTGATAGAAGCGCGAACTCCTCTCACTGTAGCGTTCCAGCTGGTCTCTCTTTAAATCTCAGGCCGAATTCGTAGATTTTCAGGATGGTTTGAAGGTTATCTAGGTAATTTGGTGGGGACAGGTGATTTGGGGACCCTACTCTTCCGCCATCTTGCCCCTCCTTACAATACACATTCTTAACTATAGTCCTCTGTTATACATCAGGTCCAGGCCTTATTCATCTTATAACCGAAATGTGTACCCCCCAACTAACCTCTCCCCATTTCAACCCATCTCCCAGCCCCTGGCAAACATCCTCCTCCTTTCTGTTTCTATTAGTTTGATTTTTGAGGAGGTGTGGGGGGACACCCACATAGAAGTGATACCTTGTAGTATTTGTCTTTCTCAGTCTGGTTTGTTTCACTTAGCATAATGCCCTCCAGGTTCATCTGTGTTGTCACAAATGACAGGATTCCCTTCTTTTTAAATGACTGAATTATATCTATGTATGGTATATACATAATACCACATTTTCTTTATTTATTCATCCATCAGTGGATACTGAAGTTTCTCCCATACCATGGCTATTGTGACTCACACTGCAATGAACATGGGAATACAGATAGCTCTTTGAGATAATTATTTCATTTGCTTTGAATAAGTACCCAGAAATGGGACTGGTGGATTATATGATAGCACTATTTTTTATTTCTTGGGGAACCTCCATACTGTTTTCTGCAGTGGCTGCCTCAGTCTACATTCACACCAGTAGGCACAAGCATCCCCTATTCTTCACATCCTCACCAACACTGACTGTCTCCTATCTTTTTGATGAGAGATATCCTACCAGGTGTGAGGGGATATCTCATTCTAGTTTTGATTTGCATTTCCCAGGTGATTAGTGACATTGAGCACCTTTTCATGTACCTTGTGGCCATTTGTATGTCTTCTTGAGAGAAACATCTCTTCAGGTCCTTTGCTCATTCTTAAATTGGGTTATTTGGGCCTTTTGGTATTTTGTATGAGTTCCTTGAGTATTTTAGATATTAACTCCTCATCAGATATGTGGTTTGCAAATATTTTCTCCCATCCCGTGGGTTTCCATTTTGTTGATCGTTTCCTTTGCTGTGCAGAAGCTTTTTTAGTTTGATGCAGTTCCATTTGTTTGCTTTTGCTTCTGTTGCCTTTGTTTTTGGTGTCAAATCCAAAAAAATCATTGCCAAGACTACTATCAAGAAGCTTGCCCCTTATATATTCTCCTAGGAGTCTTATGGCCTCGGGTCTTATGTTCATGTATTTAGCCTATTTCGAGTTGATTTCCTGTATGGTGTAAAACAGGGCTCCAGTTTCATTCTTCTGCATGTGGCTGTCCAGTTTACCAGCACCATTTATCAAAGAGACTATCCTTTCTTTACTGTGCATTCTTGGTGGCTTTATCCAAAATTAATTCTATCCTTTCTCCACTGTGTATTCTTGGTACTTATGTTGACGATTAATTGATCACATATGCATGCATTTATTTATGGGTTCTCTATTCTGTTCTGTTGGACCATGTGTCTGTTTTTATGCTAAGACCATACTGTTTTGATTACTATAGTTTTGTAATATAGTTTGAAACCAGCAAGTGTGATGCCTCAAGGTTTGTTCTTTCTCAATATTGCTCTGGCAGTCTATCTCTCAGGTGGTGGTGAGAGTCTGTGATCAGTGCAACTGGAGGTAGACCATGTGATTGAAATGAGTGCTCCTGGGGAGCTGGACTTCAGCCATGGCCTCACGGGTACTGTATTTTTCTGTTTTAGATCCATATGCACATGTCTCCTTCCTCCATCGAAGCAAAACCACTGAGATCATCCACTCGACCCTGAATCCCACATGGGACCAGACAATTATATTTGATGAAATCGAAATCTATGGGGAACCCCAGACAGTTCTACAGAACCCACCCAAAGTTATCATCGAACTTTTTGACAATGACCAAGTGGTAGATAATTTAGAATTTCTAAGATGGCTTGGGGAATGATGGAGGTTTATAGGGATATTTGTTGGGGAATTTAAGGATTGCTTGTTTCTCTAGGGCAAAGATGAATTTTTAGGACAAAGCATGTGCTCTCCTCTGCTAAAACTAAACTCAGAAATGGATGTCACACCCAAACTTCTCTGGCACCCTGTAATGAATGGGGACAAAGCCTGTGGGGATGTCCTTGTAACTGCAGAGCTGAATCTAAGGCACAAGGTACTTGCTGAGTCCTCATGTATATGTTCTTTCCTGGTAGCTGTTAAAAAAACTTGCTAATAATAATAATAAAAAAAAACTTGCTAATAATGCGAGACACCATTTCCTAGAACTAAGGAGAAACGTTGATGTCTCCATGTTTGTTTTACAGGATGGTTCCAATCTTCCCATCCTTCCCTCACAAAGGGCACCAAATCTATACATGGTCCCACAAGGGATCAGGCCTGTGGTCCAACTCACTGCTATTGAGGTATGCAGCTCCCTAAGTTTTATTGATCAAGTCAGATGACATAGCTACAGAACTGTACTCTCTCATAGGAAATGGATCTTGCTACATATTCGCTTGCTGTCTCCAATAAGAGAATTTGTCCAAAACTTTGAAATATTCATGGAAACAGAAGGCTTGTTGAAAAAAAAAAAACAGGTCAATTCCAGCATTACTGAGGAAATCTCGAGTTCTTATTTACTAGGAGCTAGGAGACTGCTGGATTTCTCATGTCAACTGGAGAAAAGGAAGAGGGAAAGCAGACAGAGCAGTGTGCACATGTGTGTGTGTGTGCACGCATATGGGTGTGTGTGTGTGTGTGTGTGTGTGTGTGTGTGTGTGCAGAGAGCAGGGGACCCAAAAGGGGGCCAAGGAGGGAAGAAGGATGGGAGCAACAGGAAATGGTGACATGGCAGACAGGCTGATGGAGCTAACTGGTAGCTTCATGGACAGCATCTGGTCCACTCTTAAGGTCTCCCCTGGTCCAGTCAAGTGGCTGTTACCTTGGGATTTCCCTTCTCAGGCTGTCTTAGTAACAGTTCACAAAGACCAAAGCAGACGGCTGAAAACAACAGCTTTCATTTTTGAATGCTTACATATCAGACACTGTGTTAAGGAGTTTACACTTGATCCTCAGAATGACCCTGTAAGTGGATAATAGTGTTGGTCGTGCTTGCAGACAAGACCTAGAGAGAGTCCTAACTTGCCAGGGTTCACAGTCAGGATTCGATTCCTGCACTCTCCACTGCTCTGCCTTTTAGCATCTCAGGCAGAAGAAAAGGGGCAAAAGTGCTTTCTCTGCATGACCTACAGGCTTTCTAGGATAATAGTCCTGGAAATTTTAGGCAAATCTGCCTATAATCTGAAAAAGTGTGCCAGTTACTAAGGAAGAAATTTTTCCTTTTCAATATTATTTGTAACGTGCTGAGTTTTCCTCCTCTTTCTTTATATTGTTTTTCTTAGATCCTAGCTTGGGGCTTAAGAAATATGAAAAACTACCAGATGGCTTCTATCACCTCTCCCAGCCTCATTGTGGAGTGTGGAGGGGAAAGGGTAGAATCAGTGGTGATCAAAAACCTGAAGAAGACACCCAACTTCCCAAGTTCTGTTCTCTTCATGAAAGTGGTACAGTATCAAGACTGTAATAGTTCATGTGTGTTGAGTAGCTGAATTTTACACCAAATATGAATATATATAAAATATATAATATATATATATCACATCCCTTGATCACCCCCCGCCACACACACACACACACACACACACACACACACACAAACACACGCACGACACATAGTAAATATATTTCCAAACTCTGACAGCAAATAGAAAAACCCTGCCTTGGCTTTAGCTTGCCAGTGACTTTCCTCCCTTAGATTCTCACACTATAGTAATGGTTTCTTGAAGCTTCACACATCCCTAAGAATGCAGAAATATTTATGAGAAATGCTTAGGTATTTCTTGAATAAACCGTCCATCTGTTTAGCTATCAGGTACAGACTTTTGGTCAATGCCCTGGAGGATAGAACTCTAACCCTCAGCCCTGCTCCTGAAGCTCTGCCATGGACTGGGACCTTCCAGATTGGGAACGCAAACTAGGGAAGGGGCAGCTGAGGAGGCCATTTGGGTGGTGGGGCCATGCCCTATCAGCCTGTGACTGTGCCCCACTTCCAGGAACCGTTTGAGGGCACCCACTTGGCTCCATGGAAGTCCTCCCCTGGTTGTTAAGAACAGGACAGCGTCAGATCTGGTTCACAATCCTCTGTCAGAGCCTTTAAGCTCATGCCCTTAAGCACTATGCTGCTTGCCTAGCACATAAATTCCTATAAACTACTTACAGTGAGTCCCCGGGGCTACACCAAATGGGCAAAATGAGTCTGGGTTGGTCCCTTGGGTGAGTTTATTGGCATGGCTTCGTACAGAGGAGTGATGCCTGCCCCTGTGACCCCTCAGTTCTTGCCCAAGGAGGAACTGTACATGCCTCCGCTGGTGATCGAGGTCATCGACCACAGGCAGTTCGGGCGGAAGCCCGTTGTTGGGCAGTGCACCATCGATCGTCTGGACCGCTTTCGTTGTGACCCTTATGCGGGAAAGGAGGGTCTTGTGCCCCAGCTAAAAGGTAAAATGCATGTCTCTAAATATCATTTTGGGCTTTTTGTGTGTGATCTGATTTAATCTTTACAAACTTCCTCAAGATAAAAATGCAGATGAGGAAACAGATTTACACTGGGCCACGTAACTTTCTCAAGCTAGTATAGTTAGTAAGTGGCAGAGCCAAATTTGGATTCCCACCTTGTCTTGAGGAGGATCCAATGCTCAAACTGTTACCTTCTGAAGTAACCTGTCCCTGGCTGAACATAAATAATGTCTCTTCAGGAAATGTTAAGTACTTCCTAAAGTTGTCATATTAAGTTAAGCCGAGAGGACAAACAAGAAAATGAGTGGTTCAGTCCAGTGTGATAAGGGTTTTGGTGCAGAAATACAGGGGTCCCCCCATGAGCACTGAAGCAGTGGGAGGATTTTTATTTCGTATTGCTTTCCATCTGTTGTCCTCATTAACACATCCCATTATTATGATGTAATTTTTTAAAAGATTGTATTTATTTATTATATTCATTCATTCATTCATTCATTCATTTGAGAGAGAGAACAAGCACAAGCAGAGGGAGCAGCAGGCAGAGGGAGAGTGAAGCAGACTCCCCGCTGAGCAGGGAGTCTGATGCGGGGCTCGATCCTAGGACCGTGAGATCATGTGAGCTGAAGGAATACACTTAACCGACTGAGCCACCCCTGGTGCCCCTATTGTGATGTTCTTTGAAAAATATTATTTCATTGTTGCTCATGGAGGAAAAACTGACACCTGCTGAGTTTTTCTTTTAATAAATTAATTTTTTATTGGTGTTCAATTTACCAACATACAGAATAACACCCAGTGCTCATCCCGTCAAGTGTCCCCCTCAGTGCCCGTCACCCATTCACCCCCACCCCCCGCCCTCCTCCCCCTCCACCACCCCTAGTTCATTTCCCAGAGTTAGAAGTCTTCATGCTCTGTCTCCCTTTCTGATATTTCCCACACATTTCTTCTCCCTTCCCTTATATTCCCTTTCACTATTATTCATATTCCCCAAATGAATGAGAACATACACTGTTTGTCCTTCTCCGATTGACTTACTTCACTCAGCATAATACCCTCCAGTAACCAACATTTGTGCATGGTTTCCTTTTCTAATATATTAGAGCAGATTCAAAGTTATCCTTCTAAAATGCATCTCCAAAAGGGGTTTGAAGACATTTTTTCTGAATATTTACCACCAGGGGGCACTCGATCATTGAAAGTCAAAGTTAGAATCCTAATCCAAATTCTTGACTAGAGTTGCATAAAACTCAACACATGCCTTGCAGTTTGAGATAGAGGATATATGATCGGAGCAAAAACAAAGCGTCCCATTTGTGTGATGCCTCAGTGCTAAAACTGAAACAGCCTTTTGGATGATGCAACACTTTCAGGTTAGATATTAGGCTGTTGCTCAGAAGGGTCAGCTCCCAGGCAGTTGCAAAAGTTTTGGTGAAGTTATTTAGCATGGAAGAGAAACAGATTGCTTCTTTTTGCCTTATCTTTCTTCAGCTTATTGAGGTATACTTGACAAATAAGGTTTTACACTTAAAGTATAAGTAATGATTTGATATACAAATATGTTATGAAATGTTCCCAAAACTGCATTAATTAACACACCGGTCACCTCACGTAGTTCATTCCATGTGTGTGAGACAGAACATTCAAGTTCTCCTCTCCTAGCAAATTTCAGTTATACAATACACATTCTTAACTATAGTCCTCTGTTATACATCAGGTCCAGGCCTTATTCATCTTATAACCGAAATGTGTACCCCCCAACTAACCTCTCCCCATTTCAACCCATCTCCCAGCCCCTGGCAAACATCCTCCTCCTTTCTGTTTCTATTAGTTTGATTTTTGAGGAGGTGTGGGGGGACACCCACATAGAAGTGATACCTTGTAGTATTTGTCTTTCTCAGTCTGGTTTGTTTCACTTAGCATAATGCCCTCCAGGTTCATCTGTGTTGTCACAAATGACAGGATTCCCTTCTTTTTAAATGACTGAATTATATCTATGTATGGTATATACATAATACCACATTTTCTTTATTTATTCATCCATCAGTGGATACTGAAGTTTCTCCCATACCATGGCTCTTGTGACTCACACTGCAATGAACATGGGAATACAGATAGCTCTTTGAGATAATTATTTCATTTGCTTTGAATAAGTACCCAGAAATGGGACTGGTGGATTATATGATAGCACTATTTTTTATTTCTTGGGGAACCTCCATACTGTTTTCTGCAGTGGCTGCCTCAGTCTACATTCACACCAGTAGGCACAAGCATCCCCTATTCTTCACATCCTCACCAACACTGACTGTCTCCTATCTTTTTGATGAGAGATATCCTACCAGGTGTGAGGGGATATCTCATTCTAGTTTTGATTTGCATTTCCCAGGTGATTAGTGACATTGAGCACCTTTTCATGTACCTTGTGGCCATTTGTATGTCTTCTTGAGAGAAACATCTCTTCAGGTCCTTTGCTCATTCTTAAATTGGGTTATTTGGGCCTTTTGGTATTTTGTATGAGTTCCTTGAGTATTTTAGATATTAACTCCTCATCAGATATGTGGTTTGCAAATATTTTCTCCCATCCCGTGGGTTTCCATTTTGTTGATCGTTTCCTTTGCTGTGCAGAAGCTTTTTTAGTTTGATGCAGTTCCATTTGTTTGCTTTTGCTTCTGTTGCCTTTGTTTTTGGTGTCAAATCCAAAAAAATCATTGCCAAGACTACTATCAAGAAGCTTGCCCCTTATATATTCTCCTAGGAGTCTTATGGCCTCGGGTCTTATGTTCATGTATTTAGCCTATTTCGAGTTGATTTCCTGTATGGTGTAAAACAGGGCTCCAGTTTCATTCTTCTGCATGTGGCTGTCCAGTTTACCAGCACCATTTATCAAAGAGACTATCCTTTCTTTACTGTGCATTCTTGGTGGCTTTATCCAAAATTAATTCTATCCTTTCTCCACTGTGTATTCTTGGTACTTATGTTGACGATTAATTGATCACATATGCATGCATTTATTTATGGGTTCTCTATTCTGTTCTGTTGGACCATGTGTCTGTTTTTATGCTAAGACCATACTGTTTTGATTACTATAGTTTTGTAATATAGTTTGAAACCAGCAAGTGTGATGCCTCAAGGTTTGTTCTTTCTCAATATTGCTCTGGCAGTCTATCTCTCAGGTGGTGGTGAGAGTCTGTGATCAGTGCAACTGGAGGTAGACCATGTGATTGAAATGAGTGCTCCTGGGGAGCTGGACTTCAGCCATGGCCTCACGGGTACTGTATTTTTCTGTTTTAGATCCATATGCACATGTCTCCTTCCTCCATCGAAGCAAAACCACTGAGATCATCCACTCGACCCTGAATCCCACATGGGACCAGACAATTATATTTGATGAAATCGAAATCTATGGGGAACCCCAGACAGTTCTACAGAACCCACCCAAAGTTATCATCGAACTTTTTGACAATGACCAAGTGGTAGATAATTTAGAATTTCTAAGATGGCTTGGGGAATGATGGAGGTTTATAGGGATATTTGTTGGGGAATTTAAGGATTGCTTGTTTCTCTAGGGCAAAGATGAATTTTTAGGACAAAGCATGTGCTCTCCTCTGCTAAAACTAAACTCAGAAATGGATGTCACACCCAAACTTCTCTGGCACCCTGTAATGAATGGGGACAGAGCCTGTGGGGATGTCCTTGTAACTGCAGAGCTGAATCTAAGGCACAAGGTACTTGCTGAGTCCTCATGTATATGTTCTTTCCTGGTAGCTGTTAAAAAAACTTGCTAATAATAATTAAAAAAAAACTTGCTAATAATGCGAGACACCATTTCCTAGAACTAAGGAGAAACGTTGATGTCTCCATGTTTGTTTTACAGGATGGTTCCAATCTTCCCATCCTTCCCTCACAAAGGGCACCAAATCTATACATGGTCCCACAAGGGATCAGGCCTGTGGTCCAACTCACTGCTATTGAGGTATGCAGCTCCCTCAGTTTTATTGATCAAGTCAGATTACATAGCTACAGAACTGTACTCTCTCATAGGAAATGGATCTTGGTACATATTCGCTTGCTGTCTCCAACAAGAGAATTTGTCCAAAACTTTGAAATATTCATGGAAACAGAAGGCTTGTTGAAAAAAAAAAAACAGGTCAATTCCAGCATTACTGAGGAAATCTCGAGTTCTTATTTACTAGGAGCTAGGAGACTGCTGGATTTCTCATGTCAACTGGAGAAAAGGAAGAGGGAAAGCAGACAGAGCAGTGTGCACATGTGTGTGTGTGTGCACGCATATGGGTGTGTGTGTGTGTGTGTGTGTGTGTGTGTGTGTGTGCAGAGAGCAGGGGACCCAAAAGGGGGCCAAGGAGGGAAGAAGGATGGGAGCAACAGGAAATGGTGACATGGCAGACAGGCTGATGGAGCTAACTGGTAGCTTCATGGACAGCATCTGGTCCACTCTTAAGGTCTCCCCTGGTCCAGTCAAGTGGCTGTTACCTTGGGATTTCCCTACTCAGGCTGTCTTAGTAACAGTTCACAAAGACCAAAGCAGACGGCTGAAAACAACAGCTTTCATTTTTGAATGCTTACATATCAGACACTGTGTTAAGGAGTTTACACTTGATCCCCAGAATGACCCTGTAAGTGGATAATAGTGTTGGTCGTGCTTGCAGACAAGACCTAGAGAGAGTCCTAACTTGCCAGGGTTCACAGTCAGGATTCGATTCCTGCACTCTCCACTGCTCTGCCTTTTAGCATCTCAGGCAGAAGAAAAGGGGCAAAAGTGCTTTCTCTGCATGACCTACAGGCTTTCTAGGATAATAGTCCTGGAAATTTTAGGCAAATCTGCCTATAATCTGAAAAAGTGTGCCAGTTACTAAGGAAGAAATTTTTCCTTTTCAATATTATTTGTAATGTGCTGAGTTTTCCTCCTCTTTCTTTATATTGTTTTTCTTAGATCCTAGCTTGGGGCTTAAGAAATATGAAAAACCACCAGATGGCTTCTATCACCTCCCCCAGCCTCATTGTGGAGTGTGGAGGGGAAAGGGTAGAATCAGTGGTGATCAAAAACCTGAAGAAGACACCCAACTTCCCAAGTTCTGTTCTCTTCATGAAAGTGGTACAGTATCAAGACTGTAATAGTTCATGTGTGTTGAGTAGCTGAATTTTACACCAAATATGAATATATATAAAATATATAATATATATATATCACATCCCTTGATCACCCCCCGCCACACACACACACACACACACACACACACACACACACACACACGACACATAGTTAATATATTTCCAAACTCTGACAGCAAATAGAAAAACCCTGCCTTGGCTTTAGCTTGCCAGTGACTTTCCTCCCTTAGATTCTCACACTATAGTAATGGTTTCTTGAAGCTTCACACATCTCTAAAAATGCAGAAATATTTATGAGAAATGCTTAGGTATTTCTTGAATAAACCGTCCATCTGTTTAGCTATCAGGAACAGACTTTTGGTCAATGCCCAGGAGGATAGAACTCTAACCCTCAGCCCTGCTCCTGAAGCTCTGCCATTGGCTGGGACCTTCCAGATTGGGAACGCAAACTAGGGAAGGGGCAGCTGAGGAGGCCATTTGGGTGGTGGGGCCATGCCCTATCAGCCTGTGACTGTGCCCCACTTCCAGGAACCGTTTGAGGGCACCCACTTGGCTCCATGGAAGTCCTCCCCTGGTTGTTAAGAACAGGACAGCGTCAGATCTGGTTCACAATCCTCTGTCAGAGCCTTTAAGCTCATGCCCTTAAGCACTATGCTGCTTGCCTAGCACATAAATTCCTAAACTACTTACACTGAGTCCCCGGGGCTACACCAAATGGGCAAAATGAGTCTGGGTTGGTCCCTTGGGTGAGTTTATTGGCATGGCTTCGTACAGAGGAGTGATGCCTGCCCCTGTGACCCCTCAGTTCTTGCCCAAGGAGGAACTGTACATGCCTCCGCTGGTGATCAAGGTCATCGACCACAGGCAGTTCGGGCGGAAGCCCGTTGTTGGGCAGTGCACCATCGATCGTCTGGACCGCTTTCGTTGTGACCCTTATGCGGGAAAGGAGGGTCTTGTGCCCCAGCTAAAAGGTAAAATGCATGTCTCTAAATATCATTTTGGGCTTTTTGTGTGTGATCTGATTTAATCTTTACAAACTTCCTCAAGATAAAAATGCAGATGAGGAAACAGATTTACACTGGGCCACGTAACTTTCTCAAGCTAGTATAGTTAGTAAGTGGCAGAGCCAAATTTGGATTCCCACCTTGTCTTGAGGAGGATCCAATGCTCAAACTGTTACCTTCTGAAGTAACCTGTCCCTGGCTGAACATAAATAATGTCTCTTCAGGAAATGTTAAGTACTTCCTAAAGTTGTCATATTAAGTTAAGCCGAGAGGACAAACAAGAAAATGAGTGGTTCAGTCCAGTGTGATAAGGGTTTTGGTGCAGAAATACAGGGGTCCCCCCATGAGCACTGAAGCAGTGGGAGGATTTTTATTTCGTATTGCTTTCCATCTGTTGTCCTCATTAACACATCCCATTATTATGATGTAATTTTTTAAAAGATTTTATTTATTTATTTATTTATTCATTCATTCATTCATTCATTCATTCATTTGAGAGAGAGAACAAGCACAAGCAGAGGGAGCAGCAGGCAGAGGGAGAGTGAAGCAGACTCCCCGCTGAGCAGGGAGTCTGATGCGGGGCTCGATCCTAGGACCGTGAGGTCATGTGAGCTGAAGGAATACACTTAACCGACTGAGCCACCCCTGGTGCCCCTATTGTGATGTTCTTTGAAAAATATTATTTCATTGTTGCTCATGGAGGAAAAACTGACACCTGCTGAGTTTTTTTTTTAATAAATTAATTTTTTATTGGTGTTCAATTTACCAACATACAGAATAACACCCAGTGCTCATCCCGTCAAGTGTCCCCCTCAGTGCCCGTCACCCATTCACCCCCACCCCCCGCCCTCCTCCCCCTCCACCACCCCTAGTTCATTTCCCAGAGTTAGAAGTCTTCATGCTCTGTCTCCCTTTCTGATATTTCCCACACATTTCTTCTCCCTTCCCTTATATTCCCTTTCACTATTATTCATATTCCCCAAATGAATGAGAACATACACTGTTTGTCCTTCTCCGATTGACTTACTTCACTCAGCATAATACCCTCCAGTAACCAACATTTGTGCATGGTTTCCTTTTCTAATATATTAGAGCAGATTCAAAGTTATCCTTCTAAAATGCATCTCCAAAAGGGGTTTGAAGACATTTTTTCTGAATATTTACCACCAGGGGGCACTCGATCATTGAAAGTCAAAGTTAGAATCCTAATCCAAATTCTTGACTAGAGTTGCATAAAACTCAACACATGCCTTGCAGTTTGAGATAGAGGATATATGATCGGAGCAAAAACAAAGCGTCCCATTTGTGTGATGCCTCAGTGCTAAAACTGAAACAGCCTTTTGGATGATGCAACACTTTCAGGTTAGATATTAGGCTGTTGCTCAGAAGGGTCAGCTCCCAGGCAGTTGCAAAAGTTTTGGTGAAGTTATTTAGCATGGAAGAGAAACAGATTGCTTCTTTTTGCCTTATCTTTCTTCAGCTTATTGAGGTATACTTGACAAATAAGGTTTTACACTTAAAGTATAAGTAATGATTTGATATACAAATATGTTATGAAATGTTCCCAAAACTGCATTAATTAACACACCTGTCACCTCACGTAGTTAATTCCATGTGTGTGAGACAGAACATTCAAGTTCTCCTCTCCTAGCAAATTTCAGTTATACAATACACATTCTTAACTATAGTCCTCACTCAGGTCCAGGCCTTATTCATCTTATAACCGAAATGTGTACCCCCCAACTAACCTCTCCCCATTTCAACCCATCTCCCAGCCCCTGGCAAACATCCTCCTCCTTTCTGTTTCTATTAGTTTGATTTTTGAGGAGGTGTGGGGGGACACCCACATAGAAGTGATACCTTGTAGTATTTGTCTTTCTCAGTCTGGTTTGTTTCACTTAGCATAATGCCCTCCAGGTTCATCTGTGTTGTCACAAATGACAGGATTCCCTTCTTTTTAAATGACTGAATTATATCTATGTATGGTATATACATAATACCACATTTTCTTTATTTATTCATCCATCAGTGGATACTGAAGTTTCTCCCATACCATGGCTCTTGTGACTCACACTGCAATGAACATGGGAATACAGATAGCTCTTTGAGATAATTATTTCATTTGCTTTGAATAAGTACCCAGAAATGGGACTGGTGGATTATATGATAGCACTATTTTTTATTTCTTGGGGAACCTCCATACTGTTTTCTGCAGTGGCTGCCTCAGTCTACATTCACACCAGTAGGCACAAGCATCCCCTATTCTTCACATCCTCACCAACACTGACTGTCTCCTATCTTTTTGATGAGAGATATCCTACCAGGTGTGAGGGGATATCTCATTCTAGTTTTGATTTGCATTTCCCAGGTGATTAGTGACATTGAGCACCTTTTCATGTACCTTGTGGCCATTTGTATGTCTTCTTGAGAGAAACATCTCTTCAGGTCCTTTGCTCATTCTTAAATTGGGTTATTTGGGCCTTTTGGTATTTTGTATGAGTTCCTTGAGTATTTTAGATATTAACTCCTCATCAGATATGTGGTTTGCAAATATTTTCTCCCATCCCGTGGGTTTCCATTTTGTTGATCGTTTCCTTTGCTGTGCAGAAGCTTTTTAGTTTGATGCAGTTCCATTTGTTTGCTTTTGCTTCTGTTGCCTTTGTTTTTGGTGTCAAATCCAAAAAAATCATTGCCAAGACTACTATCAAGAAGCTTGCCCCTTATATATTCTCCTAGGAGTCTTATGGCCTCGGGTCTTATGTTCATGTATTTAGCCTATTTCGAGTTGATTGACTGTATGGTGTAAAACAGGGCTCCAGTTTCATTCTTCTGCATGTGGCTGTCCAGTTTACCAGCACCATTTATCAAAGAGACTATCCTTTCTTTACTGTGCATTCTTGGTGGCTTTATCAAAAATTAATTCTATCCTTTCTCCACTGTGTATTCTTGGTACTTATGTTGACGATTAATTGATCACATATGCATGCATTTATTTATGGGTTCTCTATTCTGTTCTGTTGGACCATGTGTCTGTTTTTATGCTAAGACCATACTGTTTTGATTACTATAGTTTTGTAATATAGTTTGAAACCAGCAAGTGTGATGCCTCAAGGTTTGTTCTTTCTCAATATTGCTCTGGCAGTCTATCTCTCAGGTGGTGGTGAGAGTCTGTGATCAGTGCAACTGGAGGTAGACCATGTGATTGAAATGAGTGCTCCTGGGGAGCTGGACTTCAGCCATGGCCTCACGGGTACTGTATTTTTCTGTTTTAGATCCATATGCACATGTCTCCTTCCTCCATCGAAGCAAAACCACTGAGATCATCCACTCGACCCTGAATCCCACATGGGACCAGACAATTATATTTGATGAAATCGAAATCTATGGGGAACCCCAGACAGTTCTACAGAACCCACCCAAAGTTATCATCGAACTTTTTGACAATGACCAAGTGGTAGATAATTTAGAATTTCTAAGATGGCTTGGGGAATGATGGAGGTTTAGAGGGATATTTGTTGGGGAATTTAAGGATTGCTTGTTTCTCTAGGGCAAAGATGAATTTTTAGGACAAAGCATGTGCTCTCCTCTGCTAAAACTAAACTCAGAAATGGATGTCACACCCAAACTTCTCTGGCACCCTGTAATGAATGGAGACAGAGCCTGTGGGGATGTCCTTGTAACTGCAGAGCTGATTCTAAGGCACAAGGTACTTGCTGAGTTCTCATGTATATGTTCTTTCCTGGTAGCTGTTTAAAAAACTTGGTAATAATAATTAAAAAAAAACTTGCTAATAATGCGAGACACCATTTCCTAGAACTAAGGAGAAACGTTGATGTCTCCATGTTTGTTTTACAGGATGGTTCCAATCTTCCCATCCTTCCCTCACAAAGGGCACCAAATCTATACATGGTCCCACAAGGGATCAGGCCTGTGGTCCAACTCACTGCTATTGAGGTATGCCGCTCCCTCAGTTTTATTGATCAAGTCAGATTTCATAGCTACAGAACTGTACTCTCTCATAGGAAATGGATCTTGGTACATATTCGCTTGCTGTCTCCAACAAGAGAATTTGTCCAAAACTTTGAAATATTCATGGAAACAGAAGGCTTGTTGAAAAAAAAAAAACAGGTCAATTCCAGCATTACTGAGGAAATCTCGAGTTCTTATTTACTAGGAGCTAGGAGACTGCTGGATTTCTCATGTCAACTGGAGAAAAGGAAGAGGGAAAGCAGACAGAGCAGTGTGCACATGTGTGTGTGTGTGCACGCATATGGGTGTGTGTGTGTGTGTGTGTGTGTGTGTGTGTGTGTGTGCAGAGAGCAGGGGACCCAAAAGGGGGCCAAGGAGGGAAGAAGGATGGGAGCAAGAGGAAATGGTGACATGGCAGACAGGCTGATGGAGCTAACTGGTAGCTTCATGGACAGCATCTGGTCCACTCTTAAGGTCTCCCCTGGTCCAGTCAAGTGGCTGTTACCTTGGGATTTCCCTACTCAGGCTGTCTTAGTAACAGTTCACAAAGACCAAAGCAGACGGCTGAAAACAACAGCTTTCATTTTTGAATGCTTACATATCAGACACTGTGTTAAGGAGTTTACACTTGATCCCCAGAATGACCCTGTAAGTGGATAATAGTGTTGGTCGTGCTTGCAGACAAGACCTAGAGAGAGTCCTAACTTGCCAGGGTTCACAGTCAGGATTCGATTCCTGCACTCTCCACTGCTCTGCCTTTTAGCATCTCAGGCAGAAGAAAAGGGGCAAAAGTGCTTTCTCTGCATGACCTACAGGCTTTCTAGGATAATAGTCCTGGAAATTTTAGGCAAATCTGCCTATAATCTGAAAAAGTGTGCCAGTTACTAAGGAAGAAATTTTTCCTTTTCAATATTATTTGTAATGTGCTGAGTTTTCCTCCTCTTTCTTTATATTGTTTTTCTTAGATCCTAGCTTGGGGCTTAAGAAATATGAAAAACCACCAGATGGCTTCTATCACCTCCCCCAGCCTCATTGTGGAGTGTGGAGGGGAAAGGGTAGAATCAGTGGTGATCAAAAACCTGAAGAAGACACCCAACTTCCCAAGTTCTGTTCTCTTCATGAAAGTGGTACAGTATCAAGACTGTAATAGTTCATGTGTGTTGAGTAGCTGAATTTTACACCAAATATGAATATATATAAAATATATAATATATATATATCACATCCCTTGATCACCCCCCGCCAACACACACACACACACACACACACACACACACACACACGACACATAGTTAATATATTTCCAAACTCTGACAGCAAATAGAAAAACCCTGCCTTGGCTTTAGCTTGCCAGTGACTTTCCTCCCTTAGATTCTCACACTATAGTAATGGTTTCTTGAAGCTTCACACATCTCTAAAAATGCAGAAATATTTATGAGAAATGCTTAGGTATTTCTTGAATAAACCGTCCATCTGTTTAGCTATCAGGAACAGACTTTTGGTCAATGCCCAGGAGGATAGAACTCTAACCCTCAGCCCTGCTCCTGAAGCTCTGCCATTGGCTGGGACCTTCCAGATTGGGAACGCAAACTAGGGAAGGGGCAGCTGAGGAGGCCATTTGGGTGGTGGGGCCATGCCCTATCAGCCTGTGACTGTGCCCCACTTCCAGGAACCGTTTGAGGGCACCCACTTGGCTCCATGGAAGTCCTCCCCTGGTTGTTAAGAACAGGACAGCGTCAGATCTGGTTCACAATCCTCTGTCAGAGCCTTTAAGCTCATGCCCTTAAGCACTATGCTGCTTGCCTAGCACATAAATTCCTAAACTACTTACACTGAGTCCCCGGGGCTACACCAAATGGGCAAAATGAGTCTGGGTTGGTCCCTTGGGTGAGTTTATTGGCATGGCTTCGTACAGAGGAGTGATGCCTGCCCCTGTGACCCCTCAGTTCTTGCCCAAGGAGGAACTGTACATGCCTCCGCTGGTGATCAAGGTCATCGACCACAGGCAGTTCGGGCGGAAGCCCGTTGTTGGGCAGTGCACCATCGATCGTCTGGACCGCTTTCGTTGTGACCCTTATGCGGGAAAGGAGGGTCTTGTGCCCCAGCTAAAAGGTAAAATGCATGTCTCTAAATATCATTTTGGGCTTTTTGTGTGTGATCTGATTTAATCTTTACAAACTTCCTCAAGATAAAAATGCAGATGAGGAAACAGATTTACACTGGGCCACGTAACTTTCTCAAGCTAGTATAGTTAGTAAGTGGCAGAGCCAAATTTGGATTCCCACCTTGTCTTGAGGAGGATCCAATGCTCAAACTGTTACCTTCTGAAGTAACCTGTCCCTGGCTGAACATAAATAATGTCTCTTCAGGAAATGTTAAGTACTTCCTAAAGTTGTCATATTAAGTTAAGCCGAGAGGACAAACAAGAAAATGAGTGGTTCAGTCCAGTGTGATAAGGGTTTTGGTGCAGAAATACAGGGGTCCCCCCATGAGCACTGAAGCAGTGGGAGGATTTTTATTTCGTATTGCTTTCCATCTGTTGTCCTCATTAACACATCCCATTATTATGATGTAATTTTTTAAAAGATTGTATTTATTTATTTATTTATTTATTCATTCATTCATTCATTCATTCATTTGAGAGAGAGAACAAGCACAAGCAGAGGGAGCAGCAGGCAGAGGGAGAGTGAAGCAGACTCCCCGCTGAGCAGGGAGTCTGATGCGGGGCTCGATCCTAGGACCGTGAGGTCATGTGAGCTGAAGGAATACACTTAACCGACTGAGCCACCCCTGGTGCCCCTATTGTGATGTTCTTTGAAAAATATTATTTCATTGTTGCTCATGGAGGAAAAACTGACACGTGCTGAGTTTTTTTTTTAATAAATTAATTTTTTATTGGTGTTCAATTTACCAACATACAGAATAACACCCAGTGCTCATCCCGTCAAGTGTCCCCCTCAGTGCCCGTCACCCATTCACCCCCACCCCCCGCCCTCCTCCCCCTCCACCACCCCTAGTTCATTTCCCAGAGTTAGAAGTCTTCATGCTCTGTCTCCCTTTCTGATATTTCCCACACATTTCTTCTCCCTTCCCTTATATTCCCTTTCACTATTATTCATATTCCCCAAATGAATGAGAACATACACTGTTTGTCCTTCTCCGATTGACTTACTTCACTCAGCATAATACCCTCCAGTAACCAACATTTGTGCATGGTTTCCTTTTCTAATATATTAGAGCAGATTCAAAGTTATCCTTCTAAAATGCATCTCCAAAAGGGGTTTGAAGACATTTTTTCTGAATATTTACCACCAGGGGGCACTCGATCATTGAAAGTCAAAGTTAGAATCCTAATCCAAATTCTTGACTAGAGTTGCATAAAACTCAACACATGCCTTGCAGTTTGAGATAGAGGATATATGATCGGAGCAAAAACAAAGCGTCCCATTTGTGTGATGCCTCAGTGCTAAAACTGAAACAGCCTTTTGGATGATGCAACACTTTCAGGTTAGATATTAGGCTGTTGCTCAGAAGGGTCAGCTCCCAGGCAGTTGCAAAAGTTTTGGTGAAGTTATTTAGCATGGAAGAGAAACAGATTGCTTCTTTTTTCCTTATCTTTCTTCAGCTTATTGAGGTATACTTGACAAATAAGGTTTTACACTTAAAGTATAAGTAATGATTTGATATACAAATATGTTATGAAATGTTCCCAAAACTGCATTAATTAACACACCTGTCACCTCCCGTAGTTAATTCCATGTGTGTGAGACAGAACATTCAAGTTCTCCTCTCCTAGCAAATTTCAGTTATACAATACACATTCTTAACTATAGTCCTCACCAGGTCCAGGCCTTATTCATCTTATAACCGAAATGTGTACCCCCCAACTAACCTCTCCCCATTTCAACCCATCTCCCAGCCCCTGGCAAACATCCTCCTCCTTTCTGTTTCTATTAGTTTGATTTTTGAGGAGGTGTGGGGGGACACCCACATAGAAGGGATACCTTGTAGTATTTGTCTTTCTCAGTCTGGTTTGTTTCACTTAGCATAATGCCCTCCAGGTTCATCTG